ACGACCCACAAGTTGAGAACCACTGGTCTAGAGGAAAGTTGTGTGCTTCATTGGTGCTATACTGCGCCCTGACTGGCTCGTCCCGTCCCTTCCTTGCGGCCCTTCTATGAGGAGATGTGCAATCGTCTACCGGTGGGCTTGGTCTCCACTTCAACCCCCTCTCGTTCGCATTGATAGATGTGCTGTGGGTCTCTGATGCCGGATACCTTATCCCGTCCACACCTGGTGATCACACAGGCTGGTGTGCTTCTTCCACGTGGGCTTGTTGCTTCCCTGCTAGATGACTGCTTGTTTAGCGTCAAGCCTTGAAGACCCACACGCTCTATCGTGGCTGAACATGGTGGCCAGGCTGGAGGCTGTGGGAATGGGCACCCTTCCCGAGCGGCACGGACCCCGTGGCAGTGGTTGGTTTGGGCTTTTTTGCAAACACGCTCAGTTGCTGGTTGCTGTGGAGCCGACTCCGCCCCTGGTGCCCCGCGTGGCTCAGAGCGGAATTGCACCCGCTGGGTGGGCCCAGACCCCCACCCTCTGGGCTCCCCTGCACAAACCACACCCCCACCCTCTGGGCTCCCCTGCACAGACCACACCCCCACCCTCTGGGCTCCCCTGCACAGACCACACACCCCACGCTACTTGGTGGGGGACACCTGCCATTTCTCAACATGGAGGACCCCGTGGGGCCTGCTTTCTGGGAGTCCATGAGCCGGGGGGCCGACTGGGCCCCCCTGTGTGCCTGGGATGGAAGGCCTGCCTAGCTGTTCTCCAGGCACAGGAGGGACGTGGGGTTAGAGGTCTCGCATCCAGCCAGCCTCAGCCCACTGTCTCTAGAGACCCGTTCAGCTCGGATGGCCCTGTTTCAGTGACCCTCCCAGATGAAGGCAGGGTCTGGGGTAAAACTAAAGACCACCACTGAGTGGATGCCAACTCACAGCGACCTTACAGGGACGTGTAGAACTGCCCCTGGGGGTTTCCGAGACTGTGGCTCCTTACGGGCATAGCAAGGTCCCCTTTCTCCCAAGGGGCCCTTCGTGGTTTCAAACTGCTAACCTTGTAGCCCAACATGTAACCACCCGCCACCAGGGCTCGTGTGAGCCAGTGAAGGCCGGGCAGCCACAATGAGCTGATTTGTGGTGCAGCTGCCAGCGGGACTCCTCTCTGCCCTGCTCGCTGTGCCGCTGGCCCGGTGCCTCTGACAGACACGCCTCCCCCAGTCCCTCCGTCCCAGGCTCCTCTCCCTCTGGAGCCTCAGCGACCGATGGACCATAGCGAACCCTGACCTGCCAGTTAGAAGAGGGCCCTTGGGTGGCCCTGTCTCCATGCACCACCCCAGCAGCCCAGCCAAAGAGTTCTCAAAAACTCACGTGGTGGCTCCTGAGTCCTGTCCCAGGGCGGGCCGCCGGCTCCCCGTGTCCTCTGCAGGCCGCCGCCGAGGGGACCAGGCTGAACAGGAAGCACTGGACGCGGAGCTGGTGCCAAGGAGCCGGCAGCTGTGTCAGACCACGTGACTTGACCCCAGCTGCAAAGTTCTGGCACTGAGGACTAGATGTAAAGGGAATACGAAGGAGGGTCAAACCTTGATCCAGGAAACAGCCCCTAGACCTTTGACCCTGGGCAAGCAAGTCAGGGACTCCTGGGGCCCCGGGAGCCTGAACAGGTGCCTGTCTGTCTGCCACCAACCTGGGCTATGGGCCTGGGAGGTCCAAGGGGTCCCCTGTGTGTCCGTGGTTCCCTCTGGGATCCGCACCTCCAGCCAGCCAGCAGTACCAGCACCCTCCCCCAGGTTCCTGACTGGCACAGGGGCCTGCTGGAAAGGGGGGCTGCTGGAGGGAGCGGGAGGTCCCATCTCCAAGCCGCTTTAGAAGGGAGTCTGGTTGGTGATTGTGAATCTGGGGGCTTTGGAAGGTAGCAAAATGCTGGCGCGCCCCCTGACCTCCAGGACTGAGTTGTTAAGACCCGGGGCTGGTGTGGGTGATCCTGGAGCCCCCAGAAGCACCACCCACGGAGTGTAACCCCCAGATTCAGGACACTGTCGCCAGGGGTGGGGTGGGGGAGGGGAAGGAGGCATACAGCTAACTACCCGCTGAAGGTTGGAGTTCACCCCCAGGAGTCTCGGGGAAACACCAGCCACTGGAAACCCAGAGGGCGCCGAAGTCAGAACAGGGGTTCAAAGTCTCACAGAGTCCTTGCTTTCTGCAGCCATGGGGCTGGGTGACCCCTGCAGCAGTCACCCCGAGGTGACCATTGGACCTGAAAACAAAAATGCCCCCCATGCTGCCTTAAAATCAGAACAGCAGTCTAGTGGAACATAGAGTAAGAAAAGTCTGCTTGGAACCCCACGCTGTTTTAAGAACACACTCTCCCAAATACCAAGGCACTGCCATTGAGTCAATGCTGGCTCCCAACGACCCCCGTGGGCTTCACTGCAACTGTGTAGGGGAGTAGAAAGCCCGCAATCTTGCCCCCAAGGAGCTGCTGGTGGTTTTGAACTGCCGACTACATGGCGCAGCCCAACGCATAACCCCAACACCACCAGGGCTCTCTGGGCTCCGATGGACAAGGGCAACTTGAAAGGTCAGATGAGAAGCTCGGCGGGCAGTGGTTCTTGTCTGAGGAGGCCGAGAACGTCGCCCAGGTCAGGGAATGGCACACACGGCCCCGTTGGTGCCTGGCTTGTTGTTGGTCCTCAGCAGACCACTGATGAACAGCTTACACTGAGACGGGAGCTCCCTGGGGCCAGCTCCACCTTGCCACTCCTCACTCAGGTCCACAGGTGTCAGCACGGACCGCCAGCCGCAGGTTTCATGCTTTGCAGCTGGACGGTGCAAAGTGAAACTACCGCAACCTGGTTTACCAAGCCCGCCTGGCTCGGTGGGGTGGGCGCTGGGCTGCCAACCCCGAGGCCCGTGGTTCAAACCCACCAGCAGCGCTGCAGGCAAAATAAGAGCTGACTGCTGCGTTGGCAGTGGGTAAGCCGTAGGTGAGTCATTTGAACCTACCAGCCAATCTGCACGTGGAAGGTGAGGCTGTGGGCGCCCATCAAGGCAGGTAGGCGTCTCAGAGACCCTGGACACTGGGCTTGACTCGATGATGGTCGTGGGCTTTGGGGTCAGGATTGGTGACAGAGTCCCTGGATAGGCAGATGGCTGAACGCTTGACTGCTGGCCGATAGGCTGTAGTGTAGAGGGTTTTGAATTGGGCTGCTAACCACGAGGTCGGTGGTTTGAAACCACCCCCAGCCTCTCTGGAAGAGGAGGCTTTCTACTCCCTTCCAGAGAGATGGCCTCAGAAGCCCACAGTGCAGTCCTCTCCCCCCGCTGGGAGTTGGAATCGACTCGGGGGGCAGTGAGTTTGATCTTCAGGAGTGACCATCTCGGATGCCCCCGGGGCAGCTCTCCCCTGCCCCACAGTGTCGCTGATTAGAGGACAGCGAGTGGGAGGTTCCACGGGAGAGCCAAGACAGCGTCAGAGACCCCATGGAACCCATGCTCTGCCACGGGGGTCACCCGCGAGTCCCAGCCCCTGGGCGGCGCCCAGCAATGACAGCAGCCCTGGGGCTTGTCTCGGGTGTGGTGAAAGTGCTCCTAAGAACGAGCCCCAGAAAGAAGAAAGGTCCTAAACTTGACTGTGGTGACGATGGCTGTGGGATGGATGGCATGGGAACTGTATGTCCACAGAACTGTTCAAATGGGGGGTGGGGGGCACCAGGAGCAGGTGTGCTTTCAGTGGGAGGGTGGCCTGCTCTGGGGAATGCTCTCAATAAAGCCTTAAAGACAAAAATCCCAGAGCCTCAAGCCTGCGTCCTGCCTGCCTCTCCTCAGGTGGCAGGTGGGACGCCTCAGGAGAGGCTCCACCCCTGGCAGGGGCCCCCAGCACCCACTGCCCCCTCCCTCCCCGGGCCAGCTCTCCATCCGGGAGCAGAGGCTGCACTTCTCCCCTGGGAGGTGCTGAGCCAGGGCTGCCCCTGCCACATCCGCATTCCAGCGCCCTGGCTGCACCCCATGACCTCCCCACAATACCTGCATGCAGAGCCGTCTGGGGTTCCCCTGCCCCTTCTCTGGTGACAGTGCCCTGAGCACAGCCACCGCCTGTCACGTTACTCTCACGTGGGACCCGTAAACCCGTGCCCACACGCTACCCACTGCCGGCCCCAACAGTGTTCTCAAAGGCCAGCGGCAGGCCTCCGGAGCCAGCAGCCACCCAGGGGACGGTGGTGGGGAAGTGGACGGGCCCTTCACTTGCTGACCACACAGAACTCAGTCCCTTTTGAGAGAACGACATCTGTCCCTCTGTCCATCCAACCCAATCTGTCCGTCTGTCGGGTGCGTGCATGTGTCAGAGACAGAAGAACAAACGAGGTGAGAGGGAGAGAGGCACAGGTGAGAGGCACAGGTGCCCAGCCCCTCAAACCTCACAGTGTCCTGTCCTTGCTGTCCTGGGCCCGGGCTCTGGAGAGGGCGGGGCTGTGGGAAGCAGTGAATGGGAAAGCGTATGCAGGAGAGCGTATACAGAGAGCATATACGGATGAATCCTTTATTCTCATATGTTAAGCAGCCTGGCAGGGTGGGTTTCTGGGGTGGAGGGGGGCCTTCACCCTTGTGAGTTGTAGGTGAGTCCCAATCACATCCTCATAATTAATACTGTTCCCCGCTATATCCTCCCATGATGGTGCTGCCTTAAGGTTACCTTGTACAAGCCCACGGCTGATTGCTGGGTAGCGGCAGCTTTCACTGCAGGAGCAGACGTGTGCTATTGCTCTCTAGACTGAAGACAGTCACTCCCCCTTACCTGCCCGACACTGGTGTTAGGTGACTCCTCCAATGAGCTCAGGGACCTGTGGGGTGAAGGTACAGCCCCCTTTGTTATGTATGTGGTGACCTGTAATTAGGGGGGCTTGCACGCCCCTAGAGTGTATATAAGCCTTGGTTGGAAATCTTTTCTCTCTCTCTGCGTGGACCTGGCTCCTGAAGTCATGGCGGTCCCGGAGGTGGGCACTTGCACGCCTTACCTTGTCTGATGTCTCTTTAATTCTACCCTCAGTGACACAACTGCTCCTTGGACCCATTCGGTTATGGGGGCTGGTACCCCACATGGGGCCAGAGAAGGAGCGGTGCTGGCTGCAGTAGAAGGTTCTGGAACAGCCGCGGGAAGGCAAAGGCAGGGTGTGGGTGGATCAGTGCCCCCTTGGCGGGACAGCCCTTCTTTGCTTCCAATTAATAAGGGACGTGCAGCTTTATGAAATCCTCCTATTCCCTAACCATCCCCCCTCTCCCCTGCACACATACACACACACACTTCCCTGGGCGCAGACCTGGAGGTCAGAGCAGATGGATGGCCCTGAAGGGTCATCCCCAAGCCATTCCTTTGTCTGGGCTCCAAAGGGTCAATGGCCCTGCTTGCTGAGCAGGTACTTCTGTTTCTGGAAGCTGCGGTCTGTCATGGCCCCTGATGTTTACGGTGCAGAGGCCCAGGGCGCCTCCTCCGAGAGGGGAGTCTAGTCCAGTGTCACTCACGCACATGGCTGGAGCATGACCCTGCAGACTGACGGTGCAGGGCGGTGGGTGCTCTGGCCAGAAGGGCCCACAGAGCAGTGAGGACAGAGCGCTCTGAAAGACCCTCCCATGCCAGTTCCCTAGACCCTGGGGGCCCAGAGCCTCATGGGACATCAGATACAAGCAAGAGCAGCCAGGGGCTGCCCACTGGTCCAGCTGGCTCTCCCCGAGACACCAGCTCCGAAAGCCGCAGCCATGGGTGAACCCGGGGGGCTGCTTTGCAACAAGTGACCCAGTTTGCTGGGAGTCGGCGGGGTAGTAGGGAAAACAGCCCGAGACCCCCGGGGGCTCCAACCCCACAGGCCTTACAGAGGGCGGGGCTGCAGAGCCTCTCCAAGAGCTGCGGTTCCTGGACCCCTCCCCATGCCGGCGGGCGTCTCAGGCGAGGGGTGTCACACAAAAATGCAAGTGGACACGCGCATGCCTGCATGCACGCACACGCACACGTGTACAGGGACCCGTGCCACACGCGCACACCCACCCTGCACAGACACAACGCATGCACACACATACACACGCAGGCACCCTGCCACACACATACACATCACCCGACACAGACACAACGCATGCACACCTGCACACTCACACATACAAGTCCCACTCCACATAGGCATGCATGCATGCCTGCACACGCACACAGCCCCCACAGACACTCAGGCACAAATGCCCGCAGCATGCAGGACTTACTCCAGGTCAGCGGGGCAGGGAGAGCTGGCCACAGGGGAGGGGCGTGACCATGGCTGTGAGCCCACAGCAAGGGGCGGCCTCACTCCTCGTGAGGCATCCTGCTGTGTCCTGCCCACCAACAGCTGCTCCCCCCCTCCTTGGCCCTCGTCCCAAGGC